CCCCCACTATAGAAAGGATGTGGACGCATTGGAGAGGGTCCAGCAGAGGGCGACCACAATGATTAGGGGGCTGGAGCGCATGACCTATGAGGAGAGACTGAGGGATTTGGGTTTGTTTAGTCTGCAGAAGAGAAGAGTGAGGGGGGATTTGATAGCAGCCTTCAACTTCCTGAAGGGAGGTTCCAAAGAGGATGGAGAGAGGCTGTTCACAGTAGTGACGGATGGCAGAACAAGGAGCAATGGGCTCAAGTTACAGTGGAGGAGGTCCAGGTTGGATAGTAGGAAAAACTGTTTCACTAGGAGGGTGGTGAAGCGCTGGAGTGCTTACCCAGGGAGGTGGTGGAATCTCCATCCATAGAGGTGCTTAAGTCTTGGCTTGACAAAGCCCTGACTGGGTTGATTTAGTTGGGATTGGTCCTGTCTTGGGCAGGGGGCTGGACTTGATGACCTCCTGAGGTCTCTTTCAGCTCTATGATTCTATTATCTCTCAAACCAGTTGTGAGGGAAGAGGAAGAAATTCCCTGCAATGGTGTGTGCACTGTGGCTGCATCCCTATTACTGTAGGCAGCGGCTGGGGACACTGCTCCTCTTCCCATGCTCCTGTGGTGGAATGCAGGGCACCTTTACTTTGGCTGGGTGTCCTATAGAAGGTTCTCACCCTTAGTCAGTAGACTTGGGCAATTTCGGTCTCCCTCATTAGCCTCCCTAGATCAATCTGCGAGACCACCCAAAGCCCATCGAGGGGCAGGGAAAAGCTATTAGCAGGGTTTTCTTACCGCCAATAAACAGGCATCCGAGGAAAAATAAATAACGTGTGAAATGAGCTTTCTAGTGTGATACCCAAAACCTGAGCAATGGTCTCAAGTTGCAGTGGGGAAAGTCTAGGTTGGATATTCGGAAAAACTATTTCCCTACGAGGGGGGTGAAGCACTAGGATGGGTTCCCTAGGGAGGGGGTGAAATCTCCATCCCTAGAGGTTTTTAAATCCTGGCTTGACAAAGCCCTGGCTGGGTTGATTTAGTTGGGGTTGGTCCTGCTTTGAGCAGGAGGCTGGACTTGATGACCTCCTGAGGTCTCTTCCAACTCTAGAATTTTATGAGTCTAAAAACCTGGCTGGCGGCTACAGCTGAAGGGCAGGGATTGACAGCCAAGTTTACTTCAGGTTTGCCTCTCTCATTTGTCAGGATACAACAAGAAGCCTGGCAGTTCACGTCCGGTCCTATCAGAGTCCAGTCAAAGTCCATGTGGCCTTATTCTTTGCATGTGGTGAACCTGCAAGGCTGGGTGGCTGGTTTTGGTGCCGTTAAGGCTCTAGAGTTCTCAGGTAGCCATCACATGGAAATCATTAGGAACAGATTGTTAGCTAAAGCATGTTGGTGTGTGAAATAAACAACTTGGCACCAGTTTCTGATTAAAATCCAGAGAACACTTCCGCTCTCAATCTTTCTCATTTTTAGCTGGTTACCTGTAGAGAAGAAACTCCAGCCTCCCAATCCCTCAAAAAGTTATTTTACTTTATCCCAATTTTGCAATCTATACTGGGTCACCCCTCTCTCATCCCTGAGAAAAGGCAACTGGTTCTCTTTCTCAACACGTTTTTTAGGATTGAATCCGACATAAAGATCTCAAAACTTGATGTAATACTGAAGAGTGGTTTACAGAAGACAGCTCCCAGATTATGTGATTTACAATTCTTTTAATTTAATCTGAATGAAAATACTGCGAGCCAAGTTAGTTTGGAGAAGTCTTTTTCTGGAAGGTCATTTGATCTCATATTTACTGTATGGAAGGTTTAGGTTGAGGTTTGGCTCCTATGTTCGTCTGTCCAAACACATTTTGAATCTGATTGTTCAAAGCAAGCCTCTGTTTTGGGGTATGCAGTTCTGTACCTGCGATGAACTGTGCTTGCAGATTTCCACCTGAAAAAAGGAAAAAAAGCACTGGGAGGGGGAATTATGGGTAAAATTATGCACACAAAAATGTAGGCTGGTTTGAAAATCAGACCCTTCTTTTTAAGGGTCGAAGAGAAGGCATTCTCAATTGAAGTCAGCTGAGTTAATGGTAACGGCAGAGTAAGGCTGTTGTAATGGATAGGAGAATCGGAACCATTATGTTCTGAATGTGATGAGGTGGTATTTTCAGGTGCATTATGTATTTTGGGTGTCTTATTCTAGCATCCTGAATGCTTCAGAGTAAGATGAACCTGACTTTGGCACAAGGCATTCTGGGAAAGAGAACCTTGCGGCTATATAAGCCACTGTCTCTCGCACGTTGGAGAGAGAAGTGGCCGCTGACTGGGCTCCTCTGGATCGGTTTGTGAGAACCAGGGATGTAGCTGAGGGAGTATTACAGAGCGTGGAATTGCTGAGCGATTGAAGGAGAAAACCAAACAGGGAGTTTTTATTTTACACAGTTTCCCTCTCTCTAAGGGTACGTCTACACTAGCCCCCTAGATTGATCTAGGGAGGCTAATGAGCGAGACCAAAATTGCAAATCAAGCCTGGGATTTAAATATCCCACGTTTGATTTGCATGTTCCCGGCCGGTCGCCATTTTAGAAATTGACTAGCCCAAAGTAGCTGCCCGTGTCTACACGCGGCAGTGAAACAGGATTCCGATTTAAAGCCCCTAAATCGAATTAGCTGGTAAACCTCATTGCAGGAGGAATACCAGCTAATTTGAGTTAGGGCTTTAAATCAGAGTCCTGTTTCACTGCCGCGTGTAGTTGCAGGCAGTAACTTCAGGCTAGTCAATTTCTAAAAATGGCAACCAGCTGGGAACATGCAAATCAAGCGTGGGTTATTTAAATCCCGGGCTTGATTTGCAATTTCGGTCGCCCTCATGAGCCTCCCTAGATCGATCTAGGGGGCTAGTGTAGACGTACCCTAAGAAGGATCCAAGCTCCATGCCCCAGCCACCCCATCCTCCTCACACACAGATAAATCTTGCAGTTTGCCTTAACAGATCAGGGCTATTTTGGTGTTTGGGGGAACTCTGTTAGGAGAGTTTTCTTCTGGGTGAAGAAAATGGCCTGGGCTTTCTTTTGGGGCCCAGAGTCAGGACTTCTAGCAAGAGGAGGAGGAAAATTTCCTTCCCTTCACCTATTTCCTACAGCTGTTGGGTGAGAACAAGTTATGACCTGGTTGAGGGCTTGGAACGAGGTAACCGAGGATCCAATTGCATGGTATTTAGCTTGCATCCTCCTGTTGTGCATGTTTGATCTCTATACACTAACCACTAGGGTGAGTGGGCCATAGGTGACGCATGGTAGCACTTGGGAGATGTCACCCCATATCCCCACAAAAATTGTATTTGTTAAATAGGGTGCTTCTACATGCCCTCTCTCTGCCCCTGTGGGTGGCCCTCCCTGCAGCCTCTCCCCCAGAAGGCACCAGTTGCCCATGAGTTGGGCCTCAGAAGAATCACTTGAGAGAAGAAACCTGATGAGGATGCTCAATTCTGGCTGTTTTGTTCTGGATCTCCATTGACCTGGACTGGTTGGGACTAAGGCTATGTCTAGACTGCAGGCTTCTTTCGAAAGAGCCTCTTTCGAAAGATCGCGTCTAGACTGCAGGCGGATCTTTCGAAAGAAAAATCTGCTTTTTCGAAAGAGAGCACCCAGCGAGTCTGGATGCTCTCTTTCGAAGACGGCCTCTTTACATTGAAGAACGCCTTCTTTCGAAAGAGGAACTTTCGAAAGAAGGCGTTCTTCCTCGTGAAATGAGGTTTACCGCCATCGAAAGAAAAGCCGCGTTCTTTCGAAATAATTTCGAAAGAACGCGGCTTGAGTCTGGACGCAGGGGAAGTTTTTTCGGGAAAAGGCTACTTTTCCCGGAAAAACCCCGGAGTCTGGACACGGCCTAAATGACATACACCAGAAAAGGAAACTGAGGCAGTAGCCAGGGAACCAGGTAAGAGATCCATACCAAACCTGATTCAAATCCCATTGAAGCCAAAGTCACTTACTTTGGATTGTGTCACAATCACAAGCAGGAGACCATACCAAATTGATCAGGTGGCTATTTTGTTATGAAGATTCCAGATAACGTAGAAATCTGCATGACTAACTTAGCGCCTGCTCTTTGTTTTCTGTCTCCAAGTGTCAAGCTCCAGAAATATTACTGAACAGGAAATGTTAAAACTCCATAACAGTGACCCTGTAACACGTAAATCAAAAACAAATGCAAGTATTTTTTCCGTTGATTTCAGTAAAGGGGTCTAGATCCAGATAATGCATTTTTGGTGTATTCTTGGTTATAAATCACAGCCCTGGCTAATATACTTTATCAGTGCAGGGGGGCTGAGGGAGAAGGAACTGCAGTTTTCAAGTACAACAGACACCTGCAGTTGTTTGCACAAATGGCTCATGCCCCTGTGTCTCCTAAAGAGCTTAGCACAGTAGGCGCGAAGTGTGGTTGAACTAGCCAGAATGATGGCCTATTGCTGTGTGTAATTTCAACATCTAAGCCATGTGTGCACTATAGACTTACTGGAAATTAATGAGTAGTCCTGGAGCACCTTAGAGACTAACAAAGGTATCGGATCATGAGCTTTCATGGGTCAAACACACTTCATCCGATTAGTTGGAGTGGAAATACAGATCCAAGATATGTATAACAGCCAACACAGTTATCTGTCAATTGTAGGACCCGTATTAACGAAGCTAATTAAGTAGGCTGGATGTGTCGCATTCATAGCTATTGATGTGAAATGTGAATGTTAAAGGCAGGAGAAATTGCCTTTATAGTGCATTAACCAGTTAATATCTTTATTCCAGCCCAGGAAAACAGTGTTGAACATGCAAATGAACTCCATTTTTGGCAGTCTCTCTCTGTAATTGAGTGGTGAAATTCCTTTGTAGAAGAATGGCTACTTTTAAATCCATTATAGAATGGCCAGGGAGGTTAAAATGTTCCCCCATGGATTAGTGTGTGATACCATTTCTGATGTCTGATTTGTGTCCATTTGTCCTTTGTTGTAGAGCCGTGGTCACCAACAGGTTGATCGCTATCGATTGGTCGATTGCAAGCCCCTATTCCCCCCCCCCCCCCGAGAAGCCCCACTGCCTACCTCCAGCAAAAATGGAGGTAGCGCTGGCTTCCTGTGGGTGGACCGAAGTCCCGCAGCTTAACGGCACTTCCGGGGATTCCGGCTGTGCATTGGCTGCTCTGCTGGGCGTGCTGGCCCCGGAGGAGGAGCTTGGCGACTTCCTTGCACTGGTGCTGGAAAGGTGAGTCGGCCTGGGGCAGGCACGTGCGGAGTTTCCCTGTGCTGCGGGGGGGTTGGCCCTGGGGCAGGCACTCGCGGGATTTTCCTGCACCGTGGGAGGGGTTGGGGTTGGGCCCAGAGGAGGCATGCACTGGCTTCCCTCTGGGGGGGGGGCCGGAATCCTGGGAGGAGGCAGATGCAGGGGTCTCTGCCTCCACTGGCACCCCGCCCCCGTCCCCCCTCCTGCGGGGGGGGGACCCGGAATCCGGGGAGGAGGCAGATGCAGGGGTCTCTGCCTCCACTGGCACCCCGCCCCTGTCCCCACTCCCCAGACTCCACTCCCCGCTCCCCAGACCTTACTCCCCAGCCACAGAATTCTGTCCCCACTCCCGTCCCCACTCCCTGAACTCTGTCCCCACTGGCACCCTGTCCCCTGCTGCAGAACCCTGTCCTCTGCCCTCCCAGCACCCTGTTCCCTCTCCCCTGCTCCCAGCCGCAGAACTCTGTCCCTACAAAATGTATCATTATAAATGCTTCATTTTAGATTTAAATAGCAAGAATAAAAAACAGACCATTTATTTCATAACTATAAACTTGTGATTTTAATTTTATGTATCGCATAATTTTAAAATAAACTATTTATCAGAGTGTGTAAGTAAGGCCTGGGGAAAGCAAGTGATGGACAGGAGGAGAATAGAGAGGGTGGGGCTTCAAGGAAAGGGCGGGGCTTCAAGGAAGGTGTGGGGCGGTAGATCTTTGCCTGTTCTGAGATTTAAAAAGTGATCTTGGGTGTAAGAAGGTTGGAGATCACTGTTGTAGAGACTGTCCAGTTTGGCCAATATACATGGCAGAGGGGCAGTAGTGGTACTCAGAGAGAGGGATAGCTCAATGGTTTGAGCATTGGTCTGCTAAACCCAGCATTGTGAGCTCAAGCCTTGAGGAGGCCACTTACGGATCTGGGGCAACTCTGTTAGGGATGGTACTTGGACCTGCCGTGAGGGCAGGGCACTGGACTTGATGACCTCACAAGGTCCCTGCCAGCTCTATGAGACAGGATAGGTATGTCTCCATATATTGATGATATATATCACATTAGAGCAGAGGTGGACAATCATTTTTAATGGGGGGGGGGGGACCACACCAAGATTTTGGCAAGTGGTCAAGGGCCACACTCTTATGGAGGTGGCACAGAGTCTGGGATGGAGGTTGGGTGCAGAGGGCATGTTGGGGTAGGGGACTAAGGTGCAGGAGGAGGTGTGGAGTCTGAGAGGGGAGAGGATTCTGGCCAGGGGGAGGAGCTGGACGAGGAGGTGCAGGTTCTAGGAAGGCATTGTGATCTGGGAGAAGGGGATTGGGTAGTGAATGGGGGCAGCGGAATGGAGTGCGGGGTTAGGGAGAGGGTATGGGGTGCAGGAGAGGATTCTGGCCTGGAGGAGGAGTGTAGGGTGGGGTGCAGGGTCTGGGAGGGAGTTGTGACCTGGGAGACAGGGAAAGGGGTGCAGAGTGTTTGGATGGTGGCCTAGGGCAGGTAGTTGGAGGGAAGAGAGTGTGTGGGGTACTAGAGGCAGGCTCTGGCTGGGAGGCACTTACTTAGGTGGCTCCCAGCCAGCAGCCCTGGCTCTGCTGTGGGCGTGGGGGAGGGGGAAGAGGGAGGGAGGGTTCACAAGCTGTCCCTGTCCCCGTCCCTGGTAAAATTTCTCAGCTTCTATTGG